GGAGTGCGCTTGCGTGCAGGGTCGGGACGTGTCCAAAGCTAGTCTATAACGTGATTCTGTGCACAAAGTTCCTTCTGAAAATGCGCGGAGAATACAAAGGGCGTGCTGGGTGGTTGGTGAAGTGGTCGTGGTTGTCGTGTGGCTGCGGAGAACAGCTCGGGAGTCCAAGATCTTCTCCGGTTAGCGCTTCTGACCAGACACGCACCTTCTCAAGTTTTCGTGCTCCTCGCCATCCTCACCAGCTGCTTGCAATTGACACGTCATGGCTCCGTGAAGACGACAGCACCTGCATCTTCTCATGCCCCGCTTTCGCGTTCCCAATGCTAGCCTCATCGCCAGCGCCGACTTTCCCATCCTGCCGTTCCTCGCTCCGAGAGTCTTCGCCCAGTCATCGACACCGAAAGCACACAGCCAACAGCATGGAAGACCTAGCACAACACGGGACAAAGAGAAGGACAGATCAAAGAGCTTAGAGGAACATAACAGGGTGGAAGATCAGGACTTAATCTCGAGCCCTCGACAGACAACTATACCAACATGCCGCAAGCGACCAACACAAGACGCCCCTGCCGCGGGGCTCCTACGGACTTCTGGCCATTGGAACAAGAGAACCGACGGTTCTGTTTCTGTTAATCGTCTCTATGCGGATATATCGACATTCACTCGCCAGTATGCCCGCTCATACGCAACGACCACATCCAGCAACCAAGGCACAGCGGATGAGAAGACGCTCTCGCGACCTCGAGCTCGTCGGGCACAGGCCACTCGCACTCGTGCTCCCTCGTCCTCCGTTCAGCGCACACCTTTGCGAGCCGAGAGACATTCAAAACAACTCTCATTGGAGCGGGCTCGACTCGATAACTACGTCTCTAGACTGCCTGCCTCGTTTTCACGTACAAGGCGCGACCAAGATGGCCGATACAGGTCCCTCCAACGCCGCGTGGCAAACCTCGTCAGCTGGAACCAGACGCATCTTGATCTGACTGACACTTCAGCAAGAGAGATTGGCCTTCAACACGCGTTTGCAGCACTGGATCGCCCCGTCTACGCATCTTTGCGGAGAAACACACGTAGCGTCGTTATAGAACACGACCCACGATGTGCGCGATTGAGTTGGACGCTCTTTGCGGGAGACACCGAATCAAGTCCGCGCGAAGTATCGGACAGGTGGAAGGCTCTCGACATCTCGACGCGTAAAGCCTACGCTCATAAGTTGCTCATTTATCTCCTCGATCGTAAGCCTGGCCGCGCTTTATACTTCATACAAGCTCTGGTTAACGATACACGTACTTGGAGCCGGAAGCGAGAAGCTATTGCCGACGCTCTCAGTCATCTTTCAAAACTTCATCGACACCGATTGTATCAGGATCAGAGTTGGGGTACTGACCTAGAAGCACGCAAGTGCGAATTCGTCCCGGCGTTCTTGCACGTCTTTGTCAAGACGTTATCTAGCAAGCCCGATTTCTGCTCTCAAGACTTACTGTACAATCTTGTCGAGCTGTCCAATATAGAGGATCTGAAGAAAGTGTTCGATTGCCTCGTGGAACATAAGGTACGCGTTGACTACGATACAGTGCTACACTATGCCACTGCATTTGGGCAGGCTGGTGAAGTGCAGTATGCGTTGAAATGCCTCGAGGCATTGAAAAGCCGACATTCAGCGAAGTCGTGGGAGTCTGTTGTGGCGCGTCAAAGACTTCGCTGGGTGTGCGCTGTCATACTGCGAAGGAGCATGGCTGCAACCAAAGACTTTTACCACACTCCATATATCGTCGCTGCCTTTGTAAACATGGGTATCCAGATGGACTTACTTCTTTACAATGTCGTCATACACAACGCAATGGAAGCTGGAGATCATGCCACGGCTTTCAAGGTGTACAACACCTTCGAAAATAATGACCTACAGCCAGACAAATACACATTCGGGATAATGCTCCATGGATGTACCATGCAAAATGATCCAGCCTTTTTCCAAAGATTTGCACAGTATTGCGAAGAGGTAGCACAAGATATCCAGGACCCTTGGCTAGCAACGGAGTGTCTTTACTATCAGTATGTACGCTACAGAGTTGATGGAAACGTCGAACAGACCTCGGCCATGCTATGGCACTCTTATTCCAGACTTTTCACGACAGCGCCTCTGCAACCATTCGTTGGCTATGGAACCGCAAGCCTAGGAAACGCCGTAATGTCACAAGATTCATCTTCGCCAGAGTCTGTGCGCATTTCTCCTTCACATGTAACGCTATACATTATGCTGCAGACAGAGATTCAATCGGCCTTGGCAGTTAGCAACATGCGAGTCTACAACTTGTATCTCAAATTCAAGTCGGTCGTGCAAGAGGGGGGTCATCCGGCATTCAATGAACTGGCTCGGCAGCCGCAAATCTGGAACGCCTTCCTGTACGCCTTTTGTCAAAAACAGCAATTCGCAAACGCATCTCAGCTCATCCAAGACATGACCAATGGCCCAGCAAAGCCCAATGTCTACAGCTGGAACATCTTTATGCAGGCTTTCTTCAAGACAGGCCAGATACAAGCGGCAGAACGGATTTTCGAGATCATGCGCGACAGGGGCACTGATCCTTCCAAGTACACCTGGGGAGTCATGATGCGAGGATATGCAAATGCTCAACTTGTCGACCAAATCGACGATATCTTACCACATCTTGACGCCGAGGACGAGTCGGACCCTGATTTGCTGCGATTTCTGGCGAAAGTAGTCGATCGGAGAAAGTTGATGACTATATTGGAAAAAAGCAGGCTGCAGAAAGAGGCGATTGCGCTAGAGAGAGCGGAGCAAGAAGCTGAAGCAGAGCGATACTGGTGGCAGCGGGCGCTCGAAGCTGTCGAAGTGCCACCAACAAACGATGTCACTTCGGTCCAATCCGGTACGACTGGCTCTCCAGTTGAACCTTCAACTTCTCCAACCGAAAAGCGTTCTGACGCGACTGGCTCTTCTATTGTTGAAGCCACTGTCTCTCCAACCAAAGAACAATCGGGCTTACATCAAGACCGAGCCAGTGATCTCGAAACTGCAACGGAGCCTCCTCGGGTGCCTCATGGCCAGCCAAAAGCACCGCGCGCCAACCTGCAAGACCCTGAAGTCCAATACAGGAAGCTCCAAGAACGGTTGGGTCTTGTCCAGCCTGCCCCTCCCATGGTTGATGATGTCGCGCTCAAGCCGGCCAAGACCTCCCAAGTGGCGCCCGTCTTCAAGAGTATGATAGACTTGGACAAGTCTAAACCCAGGGTCACAGAGCCTGGTAAAGCTGCTAGTATGCGGAAGAGGGCTAGATTCAATCTCGCTAAACCCAAGGGCGGAGGTGATTTGAGATAATGCGGCTTTGGGAAGGATGTGTTTGTAGTTTCAATTGGATGTATGTAATCAGCAAGTCTATCGACGGAGTTATCCATGATGAACTACACCCTGCTTGATATCCACGCACACGTGATCACGCTCATGTCTACAATATATTGCAGATACGATTACTCATACAGCACACTGTATATCTAGACCTCGCCGTCCTTCCACTATTATTACACACGCCAAGCAGACTGGCCTTCCTTTTTTCCCTCATAAATGTGACGCGCAACCAGTCATAAGTCTGGAACAAGACGGGTAGCTCATATTTCTAGCAAGCCGCTGTTGAACCAAACTCCACCATCGAACCCCGCAATGACACCAGAGAATATGCGTACTCTGACCGACAGCCCGGGGACGCCGAGGGATATTCTCATCTTGCCAAAGTACAGATATGAATCCAGATCCGGATGTAAGGACATTGGAAGAAAGAGGCAACCGTGACGACCCATGTTTTACTACTTACAAGGCTGGCTGCATCACACAAACACCTCATATAGCAGACTGTTTGGTACGGTTCGGCAGGATGTTGACCGCGGGGTCGGGGCAAGATCTACGTTGCATGTACAGCCTCGCAAGCATGCAGCATACATGCATGCTACGTTACGTAGCTACTGCTGACTACTGTGTACTAGCGGACGCGTTGGGAGCGAACCGGAGTCTCTCAACATTACTGCCGGCCGCTGCCAGCTAGTGGCCTAGGTCTAGATCAAAACAGACCTGCTGTCGGGCCGCGTACACCCCAAGCACACGAGTGGCTGGGCGAGGACAGATAACCGCATTCTTTGTTGTGCAGTGCAGGAGGGTCAGATCGAGTACGATATATAAGCGAAGAAGCGATTTGGGAATATCCAGAATCGATGAACATGATGGATATAATATTCCCCATCGGGTAGTGTTGGTTGAAACACAGAAAAGTGAGCAAAAGACTTGAGTAAAGTTTGTTGTCAATCAATTTCCTCTCTGCCTATGTAGATAGAGACCTCCAACGTCATCTGTGGGCCCGGACATGTAAAAGAAAAAGAGTTTGCCCAAGTAATTGGCGTACGTGTTAAATGGTAAAAAGATGGTGATGGAGAAAAGGCGTTGGCTAATTACAAGAGTACTATATTGGTCGCGTGAGAAAGCGTCAATCCTCGAGATTCCAGCGTCAATATGATAGAGAAAGGTGACAAGACAAGGGAAAAAGCTGCCAGCATGCATCATCCCACACAGATCCAAGAGAATCAAAAAGGTCCCACCTCTTGAATCCTTGCCGACAAATCGACGTGTAGTGAGATATGCATGCTGCGCTGGTCCAGACTCAAAACGCTCGTGCTTTTGTTTGTTGTGCCCATCGCAAAATGTCTCAGCAGTGTAAGCTTCCGCATCTTCCGAAGAAGACTCTCCGTTGTGTGGAGTGGGGCATGCGGAAGGGTTTTCCGGCATCCATGCGGGCGAACTTGCATGTGCATGCAACAACAGTACAACTAACAAACGCGAAGATCGATACGATGCAAAATAAATTGATGGCCACCCGATGAACGCCTCCGTTTGGATATATGTCGAGTGAGAGCTAAAGGAAATGGGTAAAGATAGAGTCGCAATATACAGGTAGCGATGGATGTAAAAATACGATGACAACAAGTGCGTGCGACTAGAAGTTTTGCGCAATTCCAGAGTTGCCTTGTTGGGGGAAGACACTGGGGTTCTCGATCCTCGTGTTCCGTCGTGCTGATACGTCTCTTATGATGGGCTGTTGTTGGGCAGCGTATGGATCGTTGGCAGCATATGGCCCGTTCTGGTAGTAGTCTTGGTTGTTGTAGTACTCCTGTGGGTGACCATTGGCCATGCCAGGGTAGTCGCCAGAGTTGTCGGAGTGGTTGGCTGCCGAGTATGACGACGAAGCGTTGGAAGGCCCGCGGTGCACACCGGCCTGGTTGTTGGCAGAGTTGGCAGCGGCAGCACCGTTGACGACACCGAGGGCGCCGATACCGTCCGAGTCCATGGTCTGGCGACGGCCGTCTACAAGCGGGTCGTTGGAGTGAGCGTCAGAGTAGGCACCGTGTGTGGGAGAGTGGGGGCTAGTGTATCCGCCGGGGTTGCTGTTGCTGTCCGAGTAGGTCATGCCAGAGGTGAGGGTGGTGGACATCTTGCGGTTGGAGCTGGTGGTGGTATTGCCCCAGCCTCGGTAACCGCTGTCGTCTTCGGCCATGGCCAATCCACCAACCGCAGGAAGGGTAGGGTCGTGGTTAGGGTTGAAGCCATACTCCTCGACTTCTTTCCTGCGTTCGTCCTCCGCGCTCTGGCGCTGCTTGCGTTTGCGCCAGAAGAAGATGCCGGCTAGGACTAGCAGAGCAACGACAACAACGGGAATGACGACAGCAATGGCAGTCTTACCACCAGTGCTGAGACCGCCATCGTTCTCCTTTTGTGCATTCTGCAATTGGGTGGAGTCGGTGTTGGAAGGGTCAGCGGCACCTGTTCCGGAGGGGGACGCGCTGTTGGTTGGTGCTGCAGTGGGAGAATCTGGAGTAAAAGTGCGAATAACGGTGACCACTGACGGTGTCTCTCCAGCACCCGTGGGGGTCACGGTGGAGACGATGACTTGGGTCGAGGGTTCAGCCGACGGGGCAGTGAAGACGCTCGTGTCGACGAAGCTTGGTGCAGCGCTGGTCGTGGCAGCAGGGGGAGGAGCCTGGGTGGATGATTGCGCTGGCGGCGGTGCGCTCGACTGGGCTGGGGGAGGAGCTGCCGATGTTGATGGTGCTGGAGCCGCTGATGAAGCCGGCGGCGGTGCCTGGCTCGACTGGGCGGGAGGGTCGCTGGTCGGGGCGGCGGTGGATGCGGGAGGAGCGCTCGAGGCGGGTGGAGGAGGCTCTGAGGAGGGCGCGGCCGCTGAAGGCGTGTTAGAAGCCGGCGCAGGACTTGAAGGAGAGTCTGCAGGCGGGCTGGACGAGGCGGCGGGAGCAGAAGGCTCCGTAGGCGCAGGCGCTGCGGACGGTGTTACAGACGGCGAAGGAAGATCTGACGAGGGCGGATCTGAGGATGGGGCAGAGGCAGGAGGAGCAGACGCAGACGTAGCAGCGGGCGCGGACGAGGCAGCGGGTGCAGAGGAGGGAGAAAGAATGGAAGTAGACAACGTACTCTCGGTCACATTGCTGGACATGATGGCGACAATGGCAGCCAGCAGCTGACGGGCCTGGCAAAGGAGCGACTGAGGCGACGACGGCGACGGCAGCGACGCGAAGACGGATAAGAGGTGCCGCGCGAGGGAGGTCGGACAGTCAGCAAGGGGAGAGGTTCGCTGGAGATGAGGAAGTTAGAGTTCCGTGGTACCGCTGGCGGGCTGTAGCAGGCGCGGCGATCTCGTGTCTCCGCCGTGGGTCCGCAGTGATGATGTATCGACGGAGGCTCTTGGGTTGCCAATCGACGGCGGGCGAGGTTGTGCACGAAGGTTAGTGGACCTGCACGGCAGCGGACAGGCGACCCCAGCCAGCACCTGTTGATAGAGCTGCCGAACCGAAAGCGCCCAACAACCACAAGCGCGCTGCTTTGCTGCTTTACCCTGCCGCCCGTGCCAATTGAGTCTGATTGCGATCGGCCTCACGCTCTTGTGAAACAATACCGTCGCAGCTCGCACGCAGCGACAGACGCGACGGGCCTGGCAGCTTTTCACCACGCCCACGCCAAGGCCTGATGCCGCTCCTGGTGTTGCATCCAGCAGCGACTGGCTTGGAGCTTCGCACGGAAAAGCGGGTGTCTAATGCAGCTTCTAATGCACCCTCGCTGACTAGCCGCGCTCCCAAAGGGGGAGCTCATAACTGCTGAGCCGGCTAGCGACGAAAGCGGCATGGGCGTGGCTGTGTGCGTCTGGAGTCTGAGATGCGAAATCTGGCACAGCGGCCCCTTGAGATGGCTTGCTCCCTTTGTGCTGCATGCAAAACACCGAATTGCCTGCGTTGCACAGCGCCGCGATAATGCGCCTTTCCTCGCTGCCTTGGCCGTGGCATGCCGTCATCCGTGAGGCCCTGGGCTGAAATTTCTCCACCACCCCAGTCGCAATAACATCATCCGCTCGTGTTCTGAGCGAGCTTCCTGTTCTTCGCAGCCCGTGCGCCCGTCATTGGCTCCGTGGCGTGCCACTCTATATTAAGACGGCCAGAGTACCCTCGGCACACAACCTCCCGTCTGCTCTACTGTACGGACAGCGCACTGTGGCTTCGCAACTGCTGCAGCTACTGCTATCTTACGAGGCAGCACGTCGTAAATACCACCACTAGATGCGCGCTTTTTATCAGCTGTCTTCGTATCTCGTCATCTGCTTTTGCTGCTGCCGAGCGCAGGGTTCGTCTCTCCACCTGCGCGCTCACTAGTGACAAACAAATTCTCACCGAACTATCTTGTGAAAACATCCAATTCTCGTGTGATTAGACACCATTACCCTGTCGCAGTTCGCTGCCTTGCTCGGCACCCTCTCCACACTGTCATGCTTAGTGTACCATCACCTGCGCCTTCCCCTTACTGCCAATGCTGCACCGCTTCATTCTTCACTAGATTGCGGAAGCCACGTCTATCACTCGTCCACTCTCTGACTGCGGAACGCCAGAAGCTTGATCACTAGCGTACCAGAGCATCGTCTGCGAACTAGCTAGAGCACGCCCGGAATTATGGCCTTGCGCCCTTGCAGCTTATCCTTACCAAACTTCTTCTCGTACCACCGCTTGCCCTGCAACGCGCGCGGAAGCATGGTAGAAATCTCGTTGAGAAGAAACGTGCGTGCAGGCACACACTGCCAGCCCCCAATCATCCACCACCCTGCCCACTCAATCCACTCGCACAGGTAATGCGCGTGCAGCGAGTACTTGAACAAGCCGTTCTTCGGTATCATGTACACCTTGTCCACATTCTCCACAGGCTTGCCCTGCTCAGCGGCTGCCTTGCGTTGCTTGCGGTCTGCTGATCTCCGGATCTCACGCAGGTCGTCGTCGTGGAACATGTTGGCCAAAAGTCCCCAGCACCAGATCACGAGTCCTAGAAACATGTACTCTTGTCGCGCTGCCCACTCGTCTCGTGATGTTGGTCCGTATCCCGCGAGGTAGCCGCCAATGGAGATGGCGTTGAACATTTGGAACCCAAATGCCATGATCCAAACAAACGGGTGCATTGGCGACATGCTGGGGTTGAGAAAGAGGGGTGAGATAACTGCGCGGTAGATGTAGTGGAAGACCTGGTGTCTGATTAGCACAGTCCCTGTAGCGCCTCCAATATACTCACAAAGCATCCAGCCATGGTCCAGTTGCCCAACGGTAGTTCCGCAAGACCCAATTCTTTCGGGAGCGAGTACATGATGTACAGCAGGGTTATGAAGCCTGCCGACTCCATGGTCGCCCATCCTATCTTGCCATCTATGTTGAAACGCGACTCAATCGACGTCTTGCCCTGTGGGTACCAGTCCAGAACCCATTGCGCCGCAGTAATCTTTGTTCACCAAAAATGTTAGTAAGGACAGTATCAAGTGGCACTGGGTCGCGGCACGGTGCCCAGCAATCCGTCGGGTGTATGCTTACAACAGGAAAGAACTGCCAGATGTAGCAAATCAGCTCCCAGTTCTCGCGCGACGGCGGCAGCCAATTCTCCACAATCGCCATGCTTGTATGATGAGGTATGGCGACGCAGAATGAGATCTGACAACGTGTAGAGACAATTGCTAATGGGAACCTGGTGATCAGGTGTGGATTAAATCGCAAAACAATGATGTCACCAAACACTGTTACATCCGCGCCAAGCCGAAGCGCCCGGGCGTGTTTACGTTTTCTCGGTCGCGGTGCCTTTCCATCACGCTTCGGTCCGGATGAAATGACCCGCTCAGACAGATCTACTAAGCGCGCCACCTTTCTGGGATTGGATCGCTGCAGGATACAAACATCCCACCGCAGCGATGCAGCCCCCAGTCTGGTTTGCCGGCGTTATAGCCAGCCGGCGTCCAATTTTCTTCATCAAAAAACCGTCTCCTTAGCTCAATTGGGAGAGCGCCAGACTGAAGTCTCAGTCACTAAATCTGGAGGTATCGTGTTCGATCCACGAAGGGGACAACGTGCCTGAGTTCGCTCAGGATTCTTCGAACTTTCTTTTTGCGCTTGCGTGAACCTAGACAGACCGCGTTGTGCAGGGAAATGCATGCTCTCAAATCTTTTTGGCGTTGCCCCTTGACTTGCTTTTTTGCACATGCACCATTGCTTTGTAAACCCTGTCGAACGAGAACACTGTGTGTTGGAGCAGGGTCAGTTATCTGTCGGTGTGAATAGCGATCGGACATGTTGATGGTGGATTCGGAGTATTGTGGTTAGATGAAGAGAAAAGGATAATGAATAAAGGCTATGCTACGCTATGGTACTTCCTAGTAAACAGATCACAAAACAGGGACCAAGGCTCAAATCGTCAAAATCGCAATGCTTACTCCACTCCTCTCGCACCACTTGCGTGCATATCCGCGTCGGTGACGGGCACACTCTCCCTCCGCAATTGCTCTGGAGCCCTCGCTTCGTTGCCCTTCTTAATGCCTCTCCCTCCTGGCGTCAAGAATGTGTTGTCCAAGTTTGGTAGGTCCTCACCAGGAGTCGGAGACCAGTGCTTGCTCTTCCATGGTGTAACGTGGAGAATGTACATGGTGTCAATCTCCTCAAGAGTACGGCCGTGGGATTCGCAGAGGAAGAAGTAGACTACGACTGCACCAGTGAAACAGCAGGCGGCGAAGACATAACCGTATCTGTAGTCGATGGCAGACGTAATATAAGGTGTGACTGAGAGTGGTATTAGTACAGTCGCGGAAAGATGTGCATGAGGTAGAATTGACTTACAAAAAGAGATGAGGAAATTCCATGTCCAGTTGCTGGCCGTTGCGAGAGCCATTGCCTTTGCACGGTATCGGCTAGGGTAGATCTCACCGATGACAGCCTAGGGGTACGAAGTCAGTATATGTCTCACATGCACTTCGTACAGTCTGAACTTACCCAGATGATTGGCCCCCATGTCATGGCATAACCAGCGATGAAGAGGCACGCAAATGTGATCATGGCATATCCGACGGGCTGGCTCGTAGTACCGTCGCCGTTATCCAAAGCGAAGTGTCCAAGCGATGCGAAGACGAGGAAGAACATGAACATCCACAAGCCTCCAGTGATCAGTGCGGGTCTTCTTCCGAATCTCTCAACGATGTAGAGACCAGGGAATGTCATGCCAAAGTTGACTCCTCCCAGGATCATAGAAGTGACAAACGGGTCTTCAATCCCGACGGATTGGAAGATGGTAGTTCCATAGTAGAAGTAGCTACAAAGAAGTCAGTACAAGATGTGTGTCAATGTGCGGTATCGACTTACTAGTTAGCACCCGTGAGCTGCTGAAGGGCTTGCAGACCGACTCCAAGAAGCACACGATACGCCATACGTGGTCCTGTAAAGATCTCGTACCAAGGGTGGTGACCTCCGCCCGCTTGTTCGGCCTCCAACTTCTCTTGGATCTCCCGGACTTCGCGCTGGACCTCCGGGTGTTCCTGAGGGACACCGTACGTAATGGCGATGGTGTGTATCGCCGAGTCAACCTTGCCCTTGCGGTATTCCCATCGTGGAGATTCCTGCATGAAGAGAATTCCGAATATCATGAGTGCTGACCAGATGAAACCAACGCCCATTGGAATCTTCCATGATGCTGAGCTACCATCGGACTTGGTACCGTAGTTGATACAATAAGCCGTGAAAATACCGAGGGTGATGAAGAGCTGGTAACAGGACACTAGTGCACCTCGGACGTAGCGAGGTGCAGTTTCGGATTGGTACATGGGCGTAAGGACCGAAAGTGCTCCTACACCCAAGCCTGCAACCCAACGACCAAGGGAGATCTGGTACCATATGTTCGTTGTAGTAATCTGTACGATGACTCCGACGCAAAAGATGATGTTCCAGAAGACGATGGAGTATTTGCGACCGAATTTATCGGCGATAGGGGCCGCGATTAGAGCACCCATTAGGGTACCGATAGACAGCAGTGCAACGATTAAGCCAGACTTCCAGTTGCTGAAAGCGCGCTCGCCTGTTTCAGGGTCCGTCTGATCCGCGAATTTGTTCAAGAAATCGGGCATCTCCAAGAACCCAGAGATTTGACCAGTGTCGTATCCGAAGATGAACTATGGGCTGTCAGCTGAATACTTACGCATTCGTTGATTTGGTACGTACACCACCCATCGACACAATAATTGCCATGGCAATAATGCGCATTCGGAAGATTTCTTTGACACCGCCCTTCAACATTTGCGGCTTCTTCTCTGGATCCTGGTCCATCATCGTGGAGGAAGCAGGCGAGGCATGTGAATGCCCACGAAATCGATCGAGTATCGCCATAGCTGGTGGAGGAAAAGAGGAGTGCCGATCGAGTGTGGAGGAAAGTATCAAAAGACATCTGGGTCGTGGGGTCTCCAGGTCCCTATAAAGCGCCCACGATTGCTCCGCTTTGGGGCACTTGGGGACCCCAATGCCGTCATAACGGCATGATTAACCGTAAGTCTTCACCGCGTTCACCATGACTACTGCGCAGTCTAGCAAAATCCAAAGGCATCCCGTGGTCGTGCGCCGTGCGGTTGCCGACGTCATGGTTTGCGTGATCCAGGGCGGCCACTAACTGCATCGCCATCGACCACCCCGGGCAATCAAATGCTTGACTGTATCAAGCTATCGGCAAGCGCTGCGGTCCTAGTGGCTGCGGGCACACTCCGGGAGCAATCTTAGAGCCTCCAAAGCTTGGCCTATGCTCTTTCCCCCGGACATCAACGTCGCAGAACGTCATCTTCACTTGGACATGTGGGGTAGCGCAGGAGCCGTTGTGTGTCAGTTGAGTTGTTCGTTGGCTATCGTCACATCGGAGCCGAGGTGTGCCGATATGTCAGCGGAGGCTCGGACTTTGCTGTGTCGTGGGAATGATGGTAGGTGAGGATGATGACAATGCACCGCAAGAACTCCAGCCAGCGCTGGCTTGGCAACCGGCGCGACGATCATTCAATAATAAATACCTAAGCAACCTAATTCGTCACCTTGACATTTTGAATCCTCACCACAGGATACAGGCAGGAGTACGTACACCCACGATACGCATCGGACGAACGTTTACGGAGCGGATCTTGTCGGTGTTGTTCTCCAATTTTTTTCTTTTCTACGGCCCTTCGATGCATGCGTATTGTGGGTCACGATCGCCACACCACGGGGCTCCCACTGCCGTTAAGAGCCTCCGGATTTGAAAAATTTGAAAGTTCCCAAGTACCGGTACCTAAGCACCTACGTCATCTCGCTTGGTCACCCCAGGGCATGTTGTTCACGTTTCTAGAGTTCTAGCCTCTGCGGCCCAGCTACCAGATCTGGACCTCGACATCTGAAGTTCGAGAATTGCGTTCTGCCGTAAGCTACTGCATTGATGACAATAACTGCGAACTTCGTACGGGAGTGCGCATGAGCGATGCATCAAGAGCGATGACCGATCATCGGAAATCGTACAGTCTATAGAGAGCGCTGTTCTAATACTGTTAGGAGCGACTGGAGAATGTTGAAGGTCTTCGGGTCAATGGTTTCGTATAACACACACGTATACATGCAACGACAGCTCGAGCCCTCGTCTTTCCATGAGTAACAAAAGCGCATAAACTGTCCACTGTAGTCGTTCCTTCTTCTTTCACGTTGACGCCAAAGTATACATACACACTTCGTATCGACAGACAGAAATCTGCGCGCCAATCGTACTTGCCATTTCTACCGATTCCATCAGTAACATCAGCTGAGTTGTGACCAGACTGTCGAGTATCGAAGTAACCTCACCTCCGGGCACAACCCCGTTGCAAATCAAAATCGTCGTTTCCTGCTGAGAAGAACACCTCATCTATGCGATACACTGTTAAGAGCGGGTACACGATCCGTGCCTCTGCAGTTCCTGACGTGGCGTGAGCCAACCACTTACTATCTACCCACACATCAAACGAAAACCGTCCCGATACGGCAACTGTACTGGATGAGTGTTGATCGTAGGTAAGAGACACGGGTACGGCTTCCGATTAATTAGCATTCTACCCGGTTAGACATCTGTGGATAGCGTACCCGAGACATGGTTTCTTCTCCAGCTCGATCTTGTTGGAGTCAGTTCTCCAGCTGTACGACTACCATTCTCACCAACGCCATTTACGACTACAAAAACCTTTTGCTGTCATTATCCTTGCTATATACATCCGTTTGAGGGCAAAGATCCATTCTCGCGGATATAAGAACCGGGTATAGCGCCGCCTACCGATCAAACATGGGAAGCTATATATGATACCAGCCCGTGCATCCGTATTGGCACATTTAGTCCTGGTCGTACAGGTCTTGAGTGCGTACCACAATAGGCAATTTCGCAGTTCGGACCGACAGGCGTCGAAACTAGGCGTCAGACACGGCTACATTTGCCGGCGAGATACGCTTCATGTAGTGTACCAAGGAGTCTGTCGGCGTTACTGTGAAGCTACAATGGCTAGTTACAACGAGGAAGGGAAAGAGAACGACGGAGTTTATAAGTCTGTACGGGCTTGAAGTTCATCGTTGGATACCGTGGTATAGATGCAAAGATTGCAATTTTATTACAGCTATATGAGCACCGTCCATTCCGACTTCAGACCAAGGAAAGACTACTGTTACCTAGTGGCCCCAACAAGGAGTCGAGACATCCAGACATCGCGGTCGACGATCCTCAGCATCCGGGCAGAAAGCATAGAAAGCACATGTGATACGAACGCCTTGATTTTCCTTTGAGACCTACCCGTACCCACCCAGAGAAAGATGCAAGTAAGTAGTATTGAGGCACCGTCGCAATGCTAAAGGTCATTTCGTGAAGCGTTAATTAGGGTTCGTCGTGTTGTTGAAGGTGCCCGACATGCCTCGATTGGGCATGGCAGGAGCGTTGTTAGCAATCCCTGATGACGGTACTCGCGTCATAGAGGGTAGCGCAAACGGTGGGGCCGGTGCAGGAGCTGGAGGCTTTCGAGGTAGATGTGAAGGTGTACCATACTTTGCGATGCTGCTTTGGGATGAACCCGGGTCACCAGACTGAGAAGCAGTTCGGTTCATGGATATGGCTGAGTTGTTTCCCTGCATACTTTGAGGCGACCCAAACGGCGGTGTGGAGACAGCGGAAGGGTTAGGTCTTGACATCTGTCCAGGCATAGAAGCCTGGGCAGACATTTGATATCCACCATACCCGTTCATCTGAGGCTGTCCCTGCATCATGTTTTGTTGCATTCCAAAAGGCATGTTACGTCCACCAGGAACAAAAGCTTGGGTTTGCGGGTTGAACTGACCCCGGTTATAACTTCCAGGAAGAGGGTGCTGGTTGCGGTTGGGCTTTCCATTGTAAGCATTTGAGGCGAACTGTCCATATGGGTAGCCAGGCATCGGTGCCTGGTGAGGTGCGGACATTGGCCGGTTGCCGGGACCATTCTGGGCACCATATGCGCCCTGACCCATATGGAACGATGGCTGCTGGTTTGGTTGAGACCAGCCCGAGTTCATAGGCATATGTTGAGGTTGCTGATAGGTATCTTGGTAAGACGCCATCTGTGGATTGGCCATCTTTGGGGTGACCTGGGAGGGCATACCAGCGTTCTGGAACGATGACATACCCCGCTGGAAGTCCGTTGATAGATCATACCCATTCGGCATCTGTCCATAATTGGGGTAGGTCATCATCGACCCATTGGGAGCCTGGTACTGCTGACCAGCCCAGCCATACTGTGACTGCGCTTCCGGGGGCATCATGCTCGGATACGGGTTGCTGTATGTTGCCGGAGGCGATGCACCAGGGTTCATAGTCGCGTACGGCGCGTTCTGAGCAGGTGCTGGGTAGCCGTTGTAGTAGACCGCATTGTCTCCAGTATATGTAGCCACAGGGTACTGTTGCGGGTAGTAAACATTGAAGCGGGACCGAGCCTGGAAATCGTCGTCGTCGTAGTTACGCTGCTTCTTGGGTTTCTTCTTCCCGGCAGCTGAGCTTGATCGTGAGATGTCCTTCCCTTTTTCTTTGTCTTCTCCGGATCCGTTGGCTTCGGCCGTGCCGGGCTCTTCACTTTCCGCACTACCAAAGATGCGCTGACGAGCTTCACGATATCGCGCCTCTCGCTCCTCTCTGGATAGAGCGGCTTTGTCTTTGTTGCCTTCACCATCGTTGCTGCCCTCGCTGCCACCCATTTCAGAGGTCGTCTTCGAGGCATTCTGCGAGTTAGCTCCAGTGTTTGTACCCGATTTGCCATCGTCGCGACGCATGATCTTCCGAGCAGGGAGCTCTACGGGAGGTGTATTGGTGCCCTTGGCGGGATCTACCATCTGTGAAACGGGGGGAGGACTACTAGTAGTAAGCAACAGAGCACGCGAGCGAAGCTTGATGAATACATACATTCTACAGTAAGGGGTACGTGTAATTTTTACACCCGTCATGGTGTTGTCAACTACATGGCCGAGCAAGTAGTAGTCGGCAAGACGGTGAGCAAGCATCCTGTAAAATGTATTACAGTTCGGCAGACACAATTCGTTTTCACTGCGTACCGTCAGTAGGAAATTCTAGCAGATCCGCCACGCATGACATACCGAGAGTCTTTGATGAAATCAATGAAGTCCTGTTCTATCTTCACAACGAAGAGCCGATCACGTGGAGACCGTAGCGCCTCGAGTAACTTCTCGTCTGGAATGGCGGGCATGTTCGGAACACCATTGAGTGAAGGCATACCGTTTACCAGAGGCTGTGGCATGGGCCCCGCGCCGTTTAGCGACTGGTTAGGGTCGTACAGTGTTTGCGGACCATTGGGTAGCGTCGGAAACCGACCTGCAGGAACCCCTCGATGAGGTTGAGGATTCATCACAGCTATTTCATGTAACTGATCCCGAAAGGCACGCGCAGCGCCATGATCAGACCCCTGCCTGGAGTCTGCAACGACCGAGTCCGGCGGAGACGTGACATCCTCTTCCTCGACTGCCCTGAGGCTAGCACTGTCATCCGGGCGTAAGGACTCCTTCTCGTCCAGTGCAAATGTTGTCGCAGAAGCAACACTCTTTCCATCGATGCTGGGAGGTTTCCCAGATCCATCTGATGAAGATAGCTGAGTGCTGCTGTCCTCGGTGACAGACACCTTTACCACAGCCGCAGACTGAGGCCTATCGGGGACATCTCCTTTTGCATCCGTGGAGCGTGTTTCTAGAAGCTCAGCAGGACCTGTCTGTTGCGCGGGCTGCGATATGGCATTTTCAGCGCTGCTGCTCGCATCGATATCTTCTCGCCTTTCCGCAAGTATTTTGGGTGCTACTTCGCCATGCATGGGTGTGGAGCGCGCCTTCTGAGCGACCGCGGGTATTCTGGGTGTCGCGACAGGCGGTCTCGCTTTCGGAGCGGAATCCTTCGACATCGGAGGCTTTATGGCGGAAGCCGCAACCTAGCGCTGTTAGCACACCGCCCATGGAAATTGCTTGTTGAAATCCTACCTTGGCGAACGACAGAGGCCTTGGAGGCGCTTGTTCTGTGGAAGTCGGTGTCGCAGATGCCATGGTTGTGAGGCGATGTTTGGTACGGTAGAAGACTAGATAGGTGGTAGGTTGCGACGTAGATGGCCTATGCGCAGTGCGCGGTAGTTGCCCAAACGCGGGGACGGCGAGACGGGCTTTGAGGCAATCTCGTAGCAGTAAGGCTGCTGCTAAATGAAGCGACAGACGCCTGCTGGTGTAGCCGAAAGAATCACCAAGCTCAACGCCGTACGTGGGTCGTCGTGGACGAGAATGAAGGTGGTGTTAACCGAAGTGATGGACGTAAATTTTTTCAGGAAATAGGGTGCTCAAGGAAAGTCGCGATAACCGGAGCCAGAAAGCTGGACATGTTGGTGTGCCGACATTCGTGGGAAAAGTGTAGAGGTGTATGGGTTTGCTGGGAGCCAAGGTGAAGTAGCCTTGACGACAGGCCTGCAACGACGTAGTTTGGACGTCTAGCGTGTAAGAAGCTGCCAAGCACCCAGATGTAGGGCGCGAGACAAGGGACGACGGGTGAATTGGGTCGTCGACGGGGAGCAGTACAGGGCGGGCGGGGACCGGGCTGGTATGCGGGGTGCAGCGCAAGGCGAGTGAAGGATAGAGAAGCGATGATGGAAGCCGCCCGTGGGCGGGCTTAGTCATGCCGCTCCGCCCAATTCTCCGGCCAAGCTGAAGCTGCGCCTTACCGCATGCGACCAAGGCCCGTCGCGTTTCCTCGCCGAAAGTGACAGAAGAAGATTGAACTTGGCGAGGCTTGATTGCGTCTTTACCGGCTGCTGCTCTGACGCAAGAGTCGCGTCGTGCTCCTTTCCCTCCATTCCCACCAGCAATACCAAAGGACTTCGCCAACAAAAGTACCCTTTGGATTCGACTTGTACCGCATCCAAGTCCGTCATGTTCCGCCGCCCGGGTGCAGGTCGCTCCAAGGCTTCCGCAGATACTCTCTGCCAGAAGTGCTTGAAGAGAGGACACTACAGCTACGAGTGCAAGGCGCCCGCGCAGGAACGCCCGTACAAGTCTCGACCTTCTAGGACACAGCAACTACTCAACCCCAAACTGCAGCCTAAACTCACCACCGAGGTACCCGAGGACCTGCTGCGCAAGAAGGGCGTCGCCGATGAGATCTTGAAGAAGAAGGAAGAGGACCGCAAGCGCGCGCGCTCACTCTCTACGTCGTCTGCCGACTCTGTCTCCACCATCTCGACCAACCGCTCCCGTTCCCGCTCGCGATCTCCCCCACGAAACAAGCACAACGGACGAAGACACCATGGGGACCACGACAAAGCGCTACGGAAGCGTAGCAGGCGCTCCGTCTCTATGGACTCGCGCTCCTCACGCGCATCCGACACTGCAGACAGGAACACACGGCGGCGCATGAGCTCCTTCAGTCCTGGTGAGCGAGGCCGCCGAAGAACCAGATCCAAGTCAAGATCCAGGTCAGCGCGCATGCAGATATCACACGAGAATGCTAGGGGAAGAGCGCCGCGAAGCATGAGTGATAACGACAGGTCGCGGAGCAGGAGTGCAAGAAGAGACAGGCGGCGACCAGCTCGACGGTCAGTCTCAAGATCGCGGTCGGGGAGCGCGGACCCCATGGATACGTCAGACGAGCGTAACCCACCAAACGGAGGCCCAAGAGGCCAGCCAAGCGTCTCGCATCCAGTACATCGTGAGCCTTCCAGGTCACTCTCGCCATACCACAGCAGTCGCGATCGCAGCCCGAGTCCCTACTCCAAGCGCAAGCCTGTACGCCGATCGCGTAGCCCATACGAGGCAAGAAATGGAGGACGGGCCCGCGACAGTCCGCGTGGACCGGCAAGAAACCGTTTCGACGATCGGGCAACCGTCGCGAACAGCAGAGTTGCGCCGCCGCCAGCGCAAGCACCCCCACCCCCACAAAGAGAGCGCAGCCTGAGCCCATACAGCAAGCGTTTGGCCTTGACCAAAGCCATGCAGTCAGGGTAGACAGAACAGGGATTTTTTTATTTGGGCAAATGGCCAAAACTGTATACCGGCACTTGAAAACTTGCATTGAAAGTAGACGGTGGGCAAAGGACAGTCGTAGCACAATGGGTCATAATGGGCAATCAAATTCGGAGGCACGCCATCCTAGGGAAAAACTGAACAGCCTGGAGCCTACGTTGACGTGAGGTCACCTCCTTTGCAAGGTTTTGGGTCAATGTAGTCTGCAGACCTGTTCAGTTTTTCCCTTGTATGAGGTGCAGGCGCTATATTGGCTTCTGTGGGTTGGGGTCCTGGGACTGGACCAATTCTAAGCATTGTGGGAAGGCGTTTCTCAATAATTTAATTGCCAAACGAATAGAGTCAAATAAGCTTTTGCATTGTTCTTCTCGATTCTTGATACGCCTCTTCTTTCTTTTTGTTCAAATGACTTTTGTAGGATACCAATTCCTTCTCTTATCACCTGATCACCATCCCAGTTCTGTGCAAACTTCGTCCCATGTCTTGACATGCCATCTGCCATATCAACTCCCCCCCTTCAAATGTCAATAAAAGAGCTGCTCATGGTTAATTACCAGACGATTACTAACAACATACCGAATTCCAACCGTAGCCCTTCGTCGATGAAAGGCTACGGGTTGTATGAACGATGCCTCAATTGCGTTACCGAGGATTCTCAGTTGAATCCGAAGACCCACTGTCGTATCGAGATAGGATCGCGACCAGACGAGTCCTCTGTAATGTTCTCTTCCATGTAGTTGACGACTGCGGAGGGCGACTGTCCGTATACCCACTTGAAAGCATTTTCAATTATTCCAAGGTCATCATCCCCATAACTATCGTAAATGAGGAATCTCGCTGCGAAATCGTCCCGAGTCTGTTGATGTTGGATATATTGCCCAAACGTGATGTCGCAGCGTTCCCGAATTTTTCCAAAGTCTGCCATGGCCTTCAGGTAAAATCTCCCGAAAGCGAGCGCTTGGCGGCTCATCAAGTCAGCGCGCTGTATCTGTCCGAGGACATTGATGTAGGCTGCTTCAATGATAGCGTGCACCAGTTCCGAATCCGTCAAGCTTTTTAGACAGTCCAGGGTGATGCTGGCGCATATGTACAGCTTCATCGCGCAGTCCACGATGAATGCCAAGAGGACTGTATCAGGCTTGTTGAATCTACCATGCTCGATTAGCCCCAGTGACCATAGGGTCTCTTCAGATGAAAACCATGGTGTACCGTAGGGTCCTGGTCGTGGCATGAAGGTGTTGATTGAGGGTACGTTAGGGGCGCAACATAGGGACTGCACCCTCGTACCATCTCTGGAAGACCTCCGGGCTTGCTGATTAGAAGTTCCGAACACCATGGCGTGATGACCCGCTCCTTCCTGGGCCGATTGCATGTGGAAGCTGGATTGGTGTCGACCTGCAAAGATCTGACCTGGCTGAGGATCTGTGTAGAAAGACATACGGAGTTATTCTTAAGGAAAGACAAAAGTACCCTTGCGACATCGGAAAGCCTTTATACATGCTATCGATTATTATCTGTTAACTCGCATGATTGATGTAATGGTTGACTAGTGATTTTTCTTGGGGTGCATGGAGACCTCGGGAACCTTGGTTGACGCGAGCAAGACACGCAATACTCTAAGAAGATACTGGAACATGATGGCCCTTTGTACAAATCAAGATGTGATATGAAGTATCTCCCGCGGAGTGTACATAATGATGATGAGTTGTGTTGTTGGCCAAACCCGCCCAAGGTCATGACGCGAAGACGGACGGGAATTGCGAGCTAGGTAGGCCGCTAGCGCGCCAAGCAAATTATTTGTCCCATTCAATTTTCTCCGCGAAGCTCCTGCTCTTCTTTTCTTCACATATTGTCAACGGTCTCCAATAACCCTAAGGTCCTTCCTTTACGAATGGATTTGCCTTTTCCAGAGCAGACCCAGAAGAAATGCACAGCCGTTC